GTTGAAAAACAATTAAAGAATATTCTGAACTTACAATTTCTACGATATGTTAATACATCAAATTCCAAATAGCGCAGGCAAAACCATTACCAGTAATCACAAATTCTTAATGAAGTTATCATGAAAGTTAGTAAAGGTAATGTTCTATTCAGTGTAGCAGTTAGCAAGTTATGTCGTAAACAAATTAATGCAAGACTAACTTGTTATGTAACATATAATTGTATAAATAATATCGACAATATTGAAATCGATACTATTTTTACGGATTTTGTACATTGATGTTAAAATTTTATCAATTGTTTAATTTTTTATCATGTAGACTATATATGATTAAATATTCCATAAAATTATTTAAATAGAAGAAAATATTTATTTATATTTAGGCTACATGATCAATTTTGCATAAGAGTTTCTTTAAATTTTAAGCTAATTTTGTTATTAATTACATTGTCAAATGTTATACTGGACGTTCATAGATTGATTCACTGCCATTATTATTTTTTATTTAAGCAATTTTTATTGTCAAGTGTTCCAGCAAGTACATAAATAACAAGTTTGGATTTAAATCGTATTTTTGTGCCACTAAACATAACGATAAATTAATATTATATTTCTATATTTATATTTTAGTTGTGTATATATAAATATATAGTAATAAATTGCAAGAGAGCAATTCAATCCCTCGTATATACAAGACGAAGTCTTTTAAAGATGAATAGGGGAGACGTATTATTACGTGAGAATTCGTTTGAAATCCTCTGTAACTAATTCGGATTAATTAAATGAAACGCGAACGTACTTTTTAGAGGCGTCTTATATACTTATGCGTATATTTCTGGTTCCTTTACTTGGAGATGATATAAAAGAACATAACAATAACTTAAAGGAAAAAAACGCCGGTCGTTATTTAGAATTAAGAATAAACTGTGATCAGCGAAGATGTAAAATGTTAGTGTCATAATACCCAAGATACGTATACGAGTAAAAGAATTAATTGAAAATGCGAACAATAAGAATGTATACCGTTCAACATATTTCCACTGTACACTGAATGACGGTACTAAATAGCGGTGGGAATATAAGCATCTTCATATAGCAGTACGAAGAAGTGAATGGTAGTGCCAATGAAACGAATAGTCTGAACAATGTATACCTGCGTATATTTGTGAAAGAATTATATTCTATAAACTTAAACCTATATGCACATAGGGACTTAACATTTATATACACGCGAACATGTAGTTATTTAGATATATACATATATTGTAGTGTATCACCGCAGTGGAGAAATAAATATGCATATTTTGTAATCCGCAGAATTTTGTTAATATTTAGCTTATGATCCCAACTATGTTTTGGCTTTCCACCGTTATTCGACAATTATGTACGTATATTGATATTCGAGCATAAATTTTTTTTTATTTGAATTTTTATTAAATTCGCCATTGACGTTTATCAACATGATTTTTTTGGACGATTTTGAAATCTTTATAATTATTTAGCCGATACCGTTATCGTTATAATGTTCAATGTATTGTGTATACATTGATTATAAAAATCAAACGTAGATAATTGTTAAATGCATGCGACAATAATGTCTTAAGTAAAGTCTGAATTAGGGATGGACAGAAACTCGCGATATTAATTAGTATTGGAAAGAAATTTAATGTATAAATTATATAAATCATGTTCATATTTATGATTTAATCATAGATAAAATATGACAAATAGATATTGATTTTCTTTCATAATAAATGCCATGTAGTAAGATATAATAATATCTTAATGAATAATAACTGTGGAATATGATAGATGTGAAAAATTATAATTGCATATATTAAAAAAAAATAATTTAGAGATAATGAATTTAATTGAATTCATGATTCGCAATTAATGTCACCTGTTCGTTTTTACTTTGTATTCATGGATAGAAATTCAGCGCTAAGTATTTGCCATTTTACATAAATATTTTAGAGAAATGAACAAAACGACAACTCGGTATAATTATTTGTCCATTCCCGATGTGGACCATGTCGAAGTTATTTGTCGCAAAATTGTTTTCATTGTGAAACCGTAGCACGATACAATTTGTCGCGCGAATTCGCCAGAGACGATTCGTTATATGCGAAAGCATCCGCAAACGTATGCAGTTTAGAAAGAATCGGAGACTGCGAAATATCGAGGCGCGGAATCGTGCATACGATAGAAAGAGAGAACAATGAGATTTTGTCGACGAGACGAAAAGTCTATGTAACGATTATACTCTAATTGTGCGGCATGATTCATTATATACGCTATATATCCCGTTTTTTTGTTTTGCGTTATTGGCCGTCTAACGCTTCTCTAGTTTGCCTCGCGAGAGCATATTTTTTGCGCAAGATGTAGCCTGTGTGACCTCTCATTACATCCTTTTCGACGAATGTTTCAGTGTGGAAGAGATTGATGAAGAGAGCAGAGGATGGGCCGCCATTTCTCTGTCCGAAATGCGGCCGCACTTATTCGCACAAGTGCAATCTGACGAGGCACTTGCGTCTCGAGTGTGGCGTTGGGCCCAGATTTCAGTGTGCGAATTGCAGAAAGCGATTCAAGCATCGGCATCATCTGCGGGACCACCAGAGGATCCATTATACGACCTGCGGCTACGAACCGCGCAATTGAAACATCGCCTTCGTTCTGAGAAGACCGTTCGCATCACTGTCCTCTCGTTCGTTCCCTCATTCACTCGTTCGTTCAATATGTTTATTTTTATTATTTATTTATTTTATTTCCATTATATATTTGTGTTCTTTTATTATTTATTGTTAGTATATTTTAATTATTTATTCGCCGGTTGCGATCAAAAGTTGACAGTTTATCTGTGATTCTTTGAGTACCAAAATGCCGAATGCA